AAAATCTGTAGACTACTAAAATTAAGGACCACAGTAAAATATATCATTATAGAATCATAGAACGGTTTGGGTTGGAAGGGACCTTATACACCATCTAGTTCCAACCCCCCTGGTATGGGCAGGGACTCCTTCCTCTAGACCAGGTTGCTCAAAGCCCCTTGTTCAACCTGGTCTTCAAGACTTCCAGGGATGAGGCATATACAGCTTCCCTGGGCAACCTCTTCCAGTGTCTCACCACCCTCACACTACAGAATTTCTTCCTAATATCTATACTAAAACTCCCTTCTTCCAATTTAAAGACACCATCTCCTGTCTTATCACTACATGTTCTTGTGAAAAGTCCCTTGTCAGCTTTTCCATAAGCCTCCTTCAGGTACTGGAAGGCTGCTGTAAGGTCTCCCCAGAGCCTTCTCTTCTCTGGGCAGAACAAGCCCAACTTTGTCAGCCTGTCTTCATAAGAAAGGTTATCTAGCCTTCTGATTATCTTTGTGACTCTCCTCTGGACTCCCTCAGAGCTCTATGTCCTTCCATATTCCCCTTACACATCTACTATTGCATCTAAGCATCAAACCACTACACAGAAAATTCAGTTGTATCTCTTTGATTTGTATGTCTCCTCAGAAAGAGATGGAGAAAAAGAGGAATTTTGTCAAGTCATAATTTAGAGATGGAAATGTGTGATCTGAGCCTCACTTCACATATACTTTAATACCCCCACATTCCTTAATGCCTGTTTCAGACTGTTTAGGAGACAGTAAGGCAGGGGACCATTAAGGTAATGAAAGAAAACTGCAAGGTAAATAAATAGATGGAAAATTATTTCTCATAAGTGAGAAGTGATTTCCTGCAGGTATCTAAGATTTTATTTTACTTTAATATGCAGATCACTGACTGTTTTAAAAAGAATATAAAAATCAACCTCAATATAGTCTACAATTTTAACACCATCCACTTTGAATAGTGTGAGAAATTTCTGATATGTCATAATTTCTAGGGCTTCTAGTGAAAACAGGTCACCTTTCTTTAATTTTCATGGTTCAGCAACCTTAATGAGAAAACTCCTTAGAATAACTTAGTCCTACACAGTAAATACTTTTAAATAGTACATGTTTACTTACTCTGTCTTTCTATGGTGCATTTTACTGCCTATGCTTTTTGAAGTTCTTGTCTCTGTGTCTTATCTATGCTGAACAGAAAAAGCTACTTTGATGTTTGAACAGACTACTTCTATTCAAATACTGGAAAACAGGGAAAGCTGAGAAACACTCTATGCCACATACTGAAGTACTGGACAACAGCATATTGCCAGTGATACCTGCCTCTGCTACAGGCATTCAGCATCCAGACCAGGCAATTGCTTAGTTACAAAATCTCAGTGATGAAATCATACTTCTCCATAAGTATGAGATATATTTAATGAACTTACACTTTTATTTAAAATGTTTGCTCTTTCCTGCTAAAAATCAAAGTATGCATAGCCTGTTGACCTTTCCCATGCCTCTTTTATCATAAAAGATTGCTAGCACTTACCAAAGAAGATAGAACTATGACCTAAATTTGGCAGTAATCTCACAAAAAGATAAATGTTATTGTCAGGTGTCTGGTTTGGTTTGGGGGTTTGTTTGGGGTTTTTTGGTTTTTGTTGGTTTTTTTGCTGGTGGTGGTGGGGTTTGTGTGTGTGTGCTGTGTTTGTTTTAATTATTCATACTTTACAAGAAATATTGTTCTAACTCACATGGCATCTCACTTCTAGCACAGATCAATACCTAGCTATATTGAAGAACTTTTACTAACTTGCTGTTATATGTGCCTTCATCTTCTGAGTATTAAAACATTCTATTCAGAAGTTCATTAATCAGGTTTTTCAGTATGTATTTTCATACAGCACATAAGTTAAACCACAAGATCCAGGTTGTTGTTCATTTTCAGGAGGTAACATCAAACATGTTTGTCTTTCAGAAAAAGGTAAGGATGAAATTTGGATTTTCCAAGTTGTAATAAACTCATAGGTGTTTTCCAACAACATTTTCTGATATCCTCAAAGGCTTGAAATGTACAACTGACACACATAGCTTTCCTAAATATTCACTATACGACAGGATTGATTCCTGGCATAGAGGAGACGAGTTCTCATTGTCCTGTCCTGTTCGTCAATGAAAGACAACCATGACCTTGTGCCCCATAATATGCCAAGAGAATGCCTGCTTTGCTTTTTGAAATACTGGTACAAGAGTGCATTTCCTTGAAAAAAACAGAAGTCCGAGAGATTGCTCCTCAGGAAGCATGAATTCCAGTGACGACCAATTTATTTGAGGGAATTGGTCCTTTCAACACATTTCCAGGAAAAGGGGGAAGGGGACCCACATACATAACAACGAACACTGAGGGAAGCTTCACTGAGAGGTCATTCAGTATATTGAACTAAACAGCAGATGAAACTAAACTAGAAAATAGACCAGAGCTTGCTTTCTTTAGGAGTGCTGGGGAAGGCATTTGTCAGAAGCACTGCTCAGAATTTTACTCTGGAGAAGTTTTCTGCAATTTTAACAATGTCATAAACCACAGACTTGTGAAGTTAGATCTAGTAAGAAGAGTACAGTGAAAAGACAGCTGACAGACCTGGAAGACAGTATAGAACTGAAGACAACTTGTGTTGATGGGCTGGTGGTCCCCTCCTTTTGATTATGATGTTACCTACACCTAGCCAGCATCCTGCAAAACCTCACGTTACAAAGATAAACTGCAGAAATCTGTCCAGCAGGAAACAGACCTCTTGAACTAGGCCTCTGTCATTTTCCCCTATCCTGCAAGATACAGCCTCTCTAGACGTGCATCTCCATCACAGGCACAACATTCTGATAGAATACAGCTTCCAAATCAGAAATGTAAATAAAGGCAAAAAATAAGCTAAAGACAAGCAGACAGAAACAGCCTTTTATCCTTCCCAAATGTCTCTCCTTGATTTTGTGAAACCAGAAATAAAACAGCAGAAAATTTAGAAAGAATGGCAAATGAGGACAAATCATATCACCTAGGTTGACCAATTTTAACTTGGGCTTAGAAGTTTGAAGGCCAGTGTTCGTGTATAGAACTTACATGGGCTGTGTCATTACTGCTATGCCACAATAAATTCTTTGCAGTGATACAAATGCTCGTAACTCTCCATGTGAAGGTGGATATGCATATACAATTCCATAACAGAATATTAATCAACTGGTGTATCATTTCAGCCATGGTAACTATTAGCACAGAAAAAAATCATTTAAGTAAAAATAAATGTTAAAACACAAACCATTCATTTAAGAATAGATGTATTGAAAAAAATAAAAAACATGCAATACATTTCTCAGATCTCTTCCAACAAAGACTGATGAGTGAACAAAATTTGCTGATATAAATCCTATTACACCTGGTAGTTGTACCTTAAACACTCACGCTTGTCTACTCGATTAGGCTTCAAAATTCCAGTTTTAAATTATGTTTAAAGATGATAAACCTTGATTGAGATGAAAAATTACTTGGAAGTTTGTGAACAAAATGTAAGCCTTTACTGAGATCCAAAGGGGGTGTTAAATTGTGTTAAACATCAACATGATGTGAACTGGGCACTGGGCACTGTGTTATGTCACAAGGACTCTCCTGTCCTACACCCCAGAATAGGGTCCCTTACATTGTTTGATTCTTCCCAGGTAAATCTGAACCTCTTGTATAGGTTTTCATATTTCTATACATTTTTGGCATGTGATGCAAATTTAACAGATATAGAAGCAACATCTTTTCTCAATCTCGAAGTACACCCCTAAAAAAATCTTCCAATAATTCTTCCAGATTTCATGAGATTCACTCCTTTTTAACATTCAGAAAATCGAGTCATACGAGTAAACAACACGTTTATTTCAGAAGTACAAAACATTTTCTTAAAATTCATTTTTACTTGCTTTTTAGGCAGAGCTTTATAGTAAGCATTAAATAACTGCAGTTCTGTGCAATAAACTCATCTTTCATGATGGAATAGATTTCTCCATACTGTTACATCTTTTCTTCTTACTGTTTATACACATATTTATATATTTAATACATATTTGTCCTAAGTGTTAATTGATATGGTCAGAACATTGACGTGGTCGTAAAACACTGTTGGACTTTTGATGTGTTTAGGTCTAATACACTTCAAGAAAATTAAATAAACAAACTATTACCCTTTCTGTTTTTTTAGTAGAGTCGCTGCTAACAACACTTAAAAGGTAGCTGTTAATACTGCGAATTGCAATGTAAACAACGTCAGGATGGCATTAGCAAATTATATTTTTATTTTTTTTTTTACAACTTACTAATTATTATTTAGCTTCAAGAACTGTACTTGAGTCAAACCAAGATGTCTTCAATAACAAACCAGATTTATTGTGTTCGATACTCATCAATAATTGATATGTTTCCAAATACTTGCCAGGCACTGTGCTTTTACTCAAATCACATTAAATGTGAGCCAACATAGGTTATTTAAGCATATGTATTTCTGAATACTATGTAATTTCTCATAGCTATGGTTTTTTATTTTTTCATGTAAGATTTCTATGGAATAAAAATAGGTTTGGACAACAGATGTTTGATCCACTACCTAAGAAGCCTCAAAATACTTGGACCAAAAATCTGTGCAAACCCCATACATTTAACTACATAAATGTAAAATAATTGCCTGTTTTCTTCAAGATTACAAAAAATGGCAGATGTTAAAGGAGTAAGTATTTCACTTTTTCTCAGTGTTATACTCTTCAATCTGTTCTTAGCAGATTCAAATGTTATAAAACACCTTTGATCCCAATAGATGAAGAGCTGTTATTTATTTTGCAATTTTAAATATCTGTGTTTACTGTTATACTGAGGACACAAGGTGAAAGATTTGGTTTTTTTAGTGATCAGGTATATTAATATTATTTCAAACAGAAAAGAGTTGAAACTAAAAGCAAACAATGGAGAGTTTTGCATGTGCACATGCATACCTGAGCATTGAGAAGTTCTTCACATTTGTGAGAATGCTTTTCAATTGCTTGTATATACTGTTTTTCAATAGCCGCTTCTTGCTGTTGAACTGTAGATTGTAGCAGTGCCTGCAAAAAGAAAGCACAGAATATTCAACAAAGATATACATGGGATATTTATGGGTAACAGCAGATCTACTAATACTTGTGTAAAAGCAGAATGTGGAATGCTGTTATAAATTTGGAATGTGCAACTTTTCAAGTACCTTTCTATGTAACACTACCTTGTTTTCAGTCAGGCCTAGAATTTTTTTTATCTCAGATTTCTTATACACAGTCTGCTTAAAAGAGAGCAGCACACAGAAGATAGAGAGGGAGAGTATTTCTGTTGAATACACTCCGTTTAGTGGGACCACACAAGAAGAGAAGTAAATGAAAGCTGCTGAAAAAAAAAAAAAAAGCCAGACATATTTCCCTGGCTGACAAAACTCCACATCCTCTCGGCACAGTGTAAGATCCCCTGGGCCAAGCATGATCTTCACGACCACAAGTCAAGTAAAAGCAGATGGAAATTCTGAGTAATTTAAAACATAAAAGAACACCCCCCCAGGAAGTTCACACTCAAATGTGAAACAGTGGAAGTCAAAGTGTGGAAAGTCAAAGTACAAAGACAGTAACCAAAAGATTATAAAATTAGGAACTCTGTCTGCTCACATGTGCATACACACGTGTGCGTTCACATGCACTTGGCTGAACTCTGTAGAATTTCCAGAATCTGAATGCAAAAAAACCCAAAAAGGAATAAAAAAAAATTGTAAGACACATGAAAAAACAAATTCCCATTTCAATATTAAACTCAGGCTTCCTTAAACAATGATGCTATCTTAATGCAGGATTTACTTAGGTCATGCTATACAAGTATTTTCCCTAGTATTATAAAATATTTGTCACTTTCTAAATATTCATTGGGCTACATCTACACCATGTAACAAACTACTTTTAACTAGTAATCAATATAGTGAAGTAGTTGAAATTACTGTGTAAGTTAAAACAGATGTAAGTTTTATAGAAAACTGACATTTGGCCCAGATGCAGACAAATAAAAAATCCCATCTTTCAAACAATATTTATTTTGGAGATGTATTTACTTCACAGAACATACACAATTTTAAATACTTATTTTAAAAAAACAAGCCTGTATTCATAAACAACCTTCTGCCAATTTTTTAACTACCTTTCCAAATTTTCCACTAATTAGCCTGTTAAGACAAATACAGTGCTCTTTAATTATCCTATAGTATGTCAGTAGTTTTCAGCACAAGTGCAGAAAGATTTAAAAAGTAAAAAACAGTGTTTAACATATAGTTTAATCAAAGTGTAAGAATATGTTTACTGATGTCTGCAGGGGATTTAGCTAACAATAAGTTAGCTTCCATAAAACCCAGTTTCTTTCCAACTAGATTTATTTCTTTTGTTGATATAAATTCAGGCAATCACAAAAGCTTTAATCTCTAATAAGTATAACTTCTGTACATTAAACTTTATATGCTACATTCTAGTGAGTATAAACTGGAATTGCCATAAATCATTGGCAAGTATATACTATGGGTTATTGTTGGGTTTTTTTTCCTGAACTATTGTGACAGTAATTGTTTCCTCTAACTGGCACAAAAGAAAAAAAATAATCAAATTCTGATGTTAGGGAAAGCAGTAACAGAAAGACCATTAAGTTGCAATGCCTCTTCTCAGGTAGCTTCTTCTTTACACAAAGAGTTGAGTCACCTTATGTAATTTGTTTTTTTGTTGTTGAACAAGGGCAGTGATATCTTTCTTATCCACTCTTTCTTCACCTCTGTCTCTCTTTCCGTCTTTCTCTCTCTAACCTTATTCTCAGCACATAGGGGTAACAAAATTTCTAATTTTGCTAAGTTTTTCCAGTTGTAACCTGCTGTTTTGAGAGTACGATTTTGCTAAGTTCTGCTAGTTGTAATCTGTTGCTTGGAGAGTCATATTGTTGTTTTTCCTTTTGACAAGCTTTATAATCTTACTCAGCTTTCAGTAAAGGTGTGATTCGTGAAAGTCTCCTGGGTAATGGTCTTACTCTTAGAGTACCACACAGAGAATTCCTGAGCTTTATCTCACCTAATGGGTTCTTAAGAGATTACTTAAGAGAGGAGGACTGGATCCAAATCTCCCTGGGTCAACCCCTACCTCCAGGGAACCCTAGCTGTACCCACCTTGTGGGACTTGACATGTACCAACAATCAATTTCAGGACTATGATGGCAAGAGGCATGAGTCTTGATGTGGATCTGTTCCTACATTCCTGTCACATCTTCTGCCTCACTCTACACTTCAGAGGGTCATAAAGGAAGAGGTGGGTTCAGATTTTCAGAATTTGACTACATTTATCAACTAGTTCTCTCTGCTTCTTGGCTATAGGTCTTTGCTAGAGCCCAACAGTCAGCTTTTTCAGACAGTTACTAGATCTTCTTTTCCATTTGTAATTTCCCTGGATTTCAAAAATCTGTCTCCCAATACCTTATCTAAGTTGTCATATCAGGGAACAGTTTAAAGACCAGTACCTTAGATAAATAATAACCTAAAGTGGTCTGCTTAAAAATCAAATACAAAGCCATGCATGACTATAGGAATGAATGGCAGCCACCATCATGGCTGCAGAATCACAGTTATGATCTTAAGTACCTCATCATTTGAACCAATACCTTTCCAATAATCAAAGACAGAATTTATAAGGCTAATATATATAATAAATATATATATAATAAATAATAAAAGTATATTTAAATATAATTAGAATAGTAACATCTTTCCTCTGACTCCTGAAGAGAAAACTAAAGACATCACAACAGCTCCAAGTAATCAAACATATATACGTTGCCTTTTAACATTTCCTTCTTCCCCATATCTCATGTTACTTACTCCTTTACCATTGCTACACTACAAAAAAAACATTAACTGGGAAAAACAAAAAAATCATGTCTACACTGACACCGTTTTACTAGGTTTGGTTCAGTTATAATTGATTTTCAACTGGGTATAATCTTCTTCCATAATGATGGATAAAATTTGGTCAGGTTTTAAGCCTCAGACTTGGATCTACAGCTGTTTTGGCTTTCAGATCAGAAAAATAAAATTATAGTAGAAAGTAGCACTAGAAATTTTTGGGAAAGAAAATGGTGCCAAATTAACACATCTAGTTTTTTTCCCTTTAAAAGCAGAATTAATTCTGAAAGTTACAATGACTAAAGGTATTCAGTGGGTTTTATTTCATTAAAAAAACCTGGGACAAGAATAAAATACCTCACATTATAACAATTAATCTAGCTCAGTATCCTCTGTTTCAGTAAAGGAACTTAAGTTGACAAGAAAATATAACAGGCAGATATGGAATAGCAAACCCTTAGGTTCCTTTCCAAAATCTATCAAGTATCAGATGGATTACAGTCTGATGTGCAGTTGTACTTTCTTCCTTTCAAAAACAAATGAAATAAATCATCCTATTCTCCTCTCACCTTATAAGGACTGAACCTAGTGGAAATTTAACCAAAAGGGAAAAGGTCTGCATTCTGTCTCAGTCCTGATTTTTCTTTTTTAGAGAACAGGGCAATAACTCTTGAACTAAGAGAGATCTGTTGATTGTAGCTCCTATACTAAAATTCGTATATCTGGATTCTTTTTAAATAAATAATAGCATAATTGTAGAAAGTGACAGAACCTTGTAGATCTTTAAGGGAGGTGCAGTGTGGAACATGTTCTGGTGTCTGTAAACTATAGTTTATTTGTATGGTAGTTTAAATATAAGAATTAAGTTCTATCTTCTACTTGCTATTTTACCACATGGAAGTAACCTGTATTCCCAATGCACACATACTCCATCACCAAACTTTCTTACGTTCTCTGTTCATTGTTTCTGGTCATATATACATGAAAAATACAGGAGAGGGTTTTACAGAAAATATTCACAATAGTAATAATGAAATAATAGAATAGTTTTGGATTGGAAGGGATCCTAAAGGTAATCTAGTTCCAACCACCTTGCCTTTGACAAAGACACTTCCCACTAGACCAGGTTACTCAAAGTCCCATCCAACCTGGCCTTGAACACTTCCCAAACCCTTAGGTTCCTTTCCAAAATCTATCAAGTATCAGATGGATTACAGTCTGATGTGCAGTTGTACTTTCTTCCTTTCAAAAACAAATGAAATAAATCATCCTATTCTCCTCTCACCTTATAAGGACTGAACCTAGTGGAAATTTAACCAAAAGGGAAAAGGTCTGCATTCTGTCTCAGTCCTGATTTTTCTTTTTTAGAGAACAGGGCAATAACTCTTGAACTAAGAGAGATCTGTTGATTGTAGCTCCTATACTAAAATTCGTATATCTGGATTCTTTTTAAATAAATAATAGCATAATTGTAGAAAGTGACAGAACCTTGTAGATCTTTAAGGGAGGTGCAGTGTGGAACATGTTCTGGTGTCTGTAAACTATAGTTTATTTGTATGGTAGTTTAAATATAAGAATTAATTAAGTTCTATCTTCTACTTGCTATTTTACCACATGGAAGTAACCTGTATTCCCAATGCACACATACTCCATCACCAAACTTTCTTACGTTCTCTGTTCATTGTTTCTGGTCATATATACATGAAAAATACAGGAGAGGGTTTTACAGAAAATATTCACAATAGTAATAATGAAATAATAGAATAGTTTTGGGTTGGAAGGGATCCTAAAGGTAATCTAGTTCCAACCACCTTGCCTTTGACAAAGACACTTCCCACTAGACCAGGTTACTCAAAGTCCCATCCAACCTGGCCTTGAACACTTCCAGGGATAGAGCTTCCACAGCTTCTCTGGGCAACCACTTCCAGTGTCTCACCACCATCATACTAAAGGATTTCTTCCTAATGCCTAACCAAATCTCTCCTCTTCAATTTAAAGCCATTACCCCTCGTCCTCTCACTACAAGCCCTTGTAAAAGGTCCCTCCCCAGCTTTCCTGTAGCCCCTTCAGGTACTGGAAGGCCACTATAAGGTCTCCCTGGAGCCTTCTCTTCTTCAGGCTGAACAATCCAAACTCTTTCAGCCTGTCTTCATAAGAGAGGTACTCCAGATACACAAAGATTAAAAGTGAATCCGTCTTAATTTTGTAAACTGGAATTTTAACAAAACAAAATAAAACTTAAAGTAAATTAGTCCAAACACCTGTTTGAGCTCAGACAAAAAGCTAACCTCAGTTATAATTTTCATACATGAGAATAATTTTGGAAGACATTGAGTTGAAACTAGATCAAAATGTCTTAATAGTGTCTTTATCCACAATCATGTTGGGGTGCCCTTAAGGGAATACACACCTTAATTATTCTATTATATGCTTTAGCAACAGTCAAGAGTATTAAGTAGTCCTGGAACATTATTGACAGTACTCCATGTACTGTGGGAACATCAGAAAGCTGTATCACTGCCTACAGACTGAAGACTGTATCGTACCCAATCTGAGGAGAAAAGTTTAAATATCAGAAAATCCAAATTATTACATTTTTTTTCCCCCTGTATTTCTACATGTTGTGTTATGTATAGAGTCATAGATGCTTTCTAAAAGTTTCCTCATCTTTGCAAAGATAAAAGTGCAATGGTTAAGATTTTGCCAAAACCCATAGCACAGACACTCCAGCCCATTTTTACTCCAAATCTATTTGCCCAGCCTCAGTGCATACTCCCTTAATTCTCCTGGCAATAGATACCACAGCTGCTTGCCCAGAACAGGATTTATTGCAAGGTCAAAAGCTAGAATTTATGAGAATTATTTTTGAATTATATAGACTGTTACCCCCAAATTAATCTCAAATTCCCTAACAGTAACAAATCACCAAATCTTTCTCCCAACTCCCGCTTTTTATAGGAAGAAAAAAATAGCAGAAAAAAAAAAAGAGGAAAACCAGAACAGAGTTTATTAACCCCTCTCATATCTTCTGAAAAACAGTATAAAAGGAATTCCAATCCCTGCAAAAAACAGACGTCTCAGATGTGTAGGATTGTTTGAAAATGTTAAACCAACTCACATGAAAGAAACACCAGTCAGAAACATCCATCATGATCTAGAGGCTGCTATAATGTAACTTAAAAATACTGCAGCAAAACCCTTAGGCAATCCAAAAGAATATCCTAAGAATATCCTCTCTGGCTTCTTTCCCCTGCACAAGCATCATTAACTTCCTTAAGTAACTGAATACAAGTCAATACATCAAACACCTTCCTTACTTCAAAATGACTTAGTCAAGATTGCAAAAACCAGTTATCTTAAAAAATAATACTACCTAGTGAAAAGGGAAGTTACACTACTTTTAGTTATATTAACATTTGAACTATATTAAATACCATTGTCAATTTCAGCATTAGTACATAAGAATTTCGGTGCTTCATAGCATCAGACAATGATCAATTTAATTTAGCATTCTGTCTCTGACACTAATTAATTTCTACTACTTTATTTAAATGCAATATATAATAAAGCACTTGACAAATAATAAAAAAGAGCAGAGGACATTATCAAAATTATTTCCTGACCCTTGAAGAAGATACATTAACTCAACAAAACACGCTATTTGACTGGTTGCATTATACCTCAGTTATTAGCTAGCACACATACTATATAAATAAAACTATTTAAAATATATTTAAAAATATCTTTTTCAATAGAATCCAACTTATCCACTTCAGCCCAAGAAACCACATGTTTTCATGGTGAGGCTATTATCAGTTGAGCCGCCCTTTGAGTGAAAAAGAACCATGTCCATTTAAGTGCTATGGAATACAGGGGGGTTTTGTAGAAGTGAATATTAACCAAAACAAAGGCAATTAACTCCTGCTTAACTCAGAGTCAGCTTGCAACTTACAGTGAAGCAGGTTCTAAATGAAATAAACCAAAATGTTGAGTTGAATGTACTGAATTGTTTCCACTCATAATCATACCATGCTACTACAGCTTTAAACAGCTTGTGCTGTGAAATTTTACATATCCAGTCAAAAAGTATTTCCTGTGGAAAATCCTTCTCACAAGTTATTTTTTACAAAAGGTCAACACATTCTGATGTGTCTGAGGAAGGTTCATGGTTTCACTAACCACTGTCCTGTTTACTGTGTGAACCGAATTTTAGTCAGGTGTTTCAAAGATGTAACATAAAAGGCATTTGAACCAAACACAAGAAGAGGGCCACATGGTTTTTGTAAAGTGGTATAACAACTTCAGTTTCATTTTCAACTACTTTTGGTCTACCAGTAATGATCAACAATTTACAGGTTGATTATTGTCCTCAGTTTATCTCCATATCTCAATTTTAATGCTATGTGAGTTTAAACTATGTATTTTCCACAAAACACTGTTCTAGACAACTGCAAGAAACAAGCTGCAAATTCACTCTTAATCAAACCTTTCAATTATTATACTATTTAACACTATATTTACAGTTCTGTAGTCAGAACCACATATAATAAGTCAACCTTACTAAAAAGGGAGAGAAATCTTGTCATTGCACAGAATCACAAAATGGTTTGGGTTGGAAGAAACCTTAAAGATCATCTAGTTCCAACCCTCCTGTGTGGGAACGGACACCTCCCATTTGACCAAGCTACTCAAAGTCCCATGCAACCTGGCCTTGAACACTTCAAGGAATGGGGCTTCCACAGCTTCTCTGGGTGACCTCCTCTTCCAGTGCCTCACCACCCTCACACTACAGAATTTCTTTCTAATGTCTAACCTAAATCTACCCTCTTCCAGTTTAAAGCCATTACCCCTCATCCTGTTGTTACATGTCCTTGTAAAAAGTCCCCAGCTGCCCATCCTGTTCACAGCACTCCCTATGGCTGCCTTTTTTTGGGGGGGTCACCACTACTCCTGTCATGCTTGTGCCTCCTCAGCTGCCCTCATGAGAGATACTGGCTCCTGGTGTATCTGTGCACTGCCCTGGGACTTCCCAGACTCAAGAAACCCCCTTGTACACCTCAGTGTCCTGCTCCCCTGAAGAACACGCCTGCACTGGAGCCAATTGTCTCTGAGATTTTTTGCAATTACCGTTACAATATAAATATGCTTTAATAATTAATGAGACTTGATTGTGCCTTGCTGTTACCAGAATTCTGTAAGAACATTTTATAGGAGCATCAGTGTTGTATGTAAATACTCCTACACTGTAAAAATGACAAGGATTCTCTCCTTTTCTAGCCATCAGCTCTTTGCTACTAAAACCAGTATTATATTCAGACCCATTTTAATTCTAGTGCAACTCACAAATGGGCAGGCACAGAAGCTGGAAGTAAAATACAAAGAACTTTTGAAATTATCCTTTTATTCATGTGTGAGCCAGTATATCATCTTGGAGACTTAAAAAGCTAAGTTGGTGTTTTAAAGAGCTGAGAACTAGACACATTTCCAGAATTTTCCCTCCTTACCAAAGATTAACTGATTCTGGATTAACTTTTGTAATAAAATCTTATACATTTTCCTTTAATTAGAGGACAACCTTTCATAGGTTGCCTCTCAGGCTATTCCCAACACAAATATTTTTGAAGGCAATCTGATGGCCCTCACACATCCCATATCTTTCAAATCTGTCCATTCTTAAATTCTGGAAAACTGAAAATATCCAACCCCCTAACACTGAAAACTGATAGATAAAACTCTTATGGTAGGAAGGGCTGAAAAGGACTTGGTATCTTGAAGTTAATTTCCATAAAAGCAAACACACATGTGATTCACACAAACTGTCATTTAGAAAGCTAGTAAGTGCATAAAATAATCTAAATAAATAAATGCCATCAAATAAATACACCTGCCTGTAACCTCATATTCTTTGAAGTTTACATTAGAGGAAATTTTACACGGTAAGAAATAGAAACAAAACAGGTTAAAAATCTTAACTTGTCTATTGACAGAACTATGACAATTTGAGAACAAAAGCTTGATTAAACAAGCAGAGGAAAAATCCTTATGTTGCTTGCAGAAAATATCTTAAAATGGGATATGATCCCACAAGCACCATTTCCAAGATCTACATTTATTTTTCTTTACAGTAGTTAATTACCATGGATAAAAGTTTTAAAAAGATTATGACATGAAAGTCAGAAAGTAAACAATATTAGGTAAACACAAGAAGGAAAAGCTTGGCCTACACAGAATGCTAAGTTCTTTTAAAATTTGTTTTCCCATGTTTTTTAATACAAATTTTGTGACTGTGTTGTAGATGGTTTATTTGTTGAAAGGAAGAATGTGAGATGGTTAACAATGGCTAAGGTTTTTGAGGGTTTGCACTACAAAGTGTGGTGTCTGTTAATGGCCTTCCCAGATCATTTGCCAAGCTAGTACTCCAAAGGCAACCGCTGTAATTCTAAGGGTTTTGGTATATTCAGGTCCTTAAGACAGGAGCTAAAAACATGAGAGAAGAATTACAGATGCAGCCTTATTTAATCTTTAATTCCCTCTCAGTGGTGCGTAGATAAAAACCTGCTGAATTGCTCTGTGACTCTGCTTTCCAGTAAGTGCAGTTTGCTGAAACTGAGGAGGTCTAAAATGTGGACATGTTCTAAATAATCAAACCCAAAGTTTACCACAACAGACTGAGCATTTTTGTTTCGTTCTGGTTTTAAGTTTCATAACTGAAAATTATTAACCTACTTTATCTGAAGCTTCCCAAAGCGCTGAGTGAGAAAACATGTCATGCAAAATTTCAGGTCAAGCAGTTTAAGTTGAAAGCAACAGAAAAGACAGTCTTAAAGTGAAAGAGGCTGAGTAACCAGAACAAGCAGTACTAAAGAAAACTGCGTGTATCACGTGCTTATTATATACTATTACAATATTATTATTTGGAAACTGTGTTAACTTGGCAACTCATTTACCTTAAATTCTTCAACAATAATACTCAAGGCTTCATGTCCAGCTTTTCTCATGTCTTCTAATTCCTGCTTATGCTTCTCCTGTACAAAAACATGGGAAGATTATACACAACACATGCACCTGACATAACACTTTTAATTAGAAGTGGAGCCCTTTTCTTAGATCTTTTAGCTGAATTGCTTTCTAAATAACTTCAGTTTCAGTGAACCATTATTAGCATAAAGAGTTCAAACAGGGTTCTTTGTTAACATCCAAAGAAATGCAGGGCATGTGTTTGTGAATACCGGGAAGTTTAACACCTCTCAACACAGTACTAAGTAAGACATGTGATAAGGGGATTTGTCACATCTGATAGGGAAGAAGAGTAAAGACCTCGAATTTACTTTATTTCACTATATGTACTTACCCTTAAGTCGATTTATTTTTCTACTAACTTTATGAGAGGCAGTCTGTCTTAAATTATTGGAGAAAAGCTCATTCCACCCACAGACTCTGCCCAGATTCCCTACTAACTTTCTGCTCTGGCATGCCTGGACATGTCATACATATTGTAGCAGCAATAAGTGAGTTTTCATGTAAGAAGAGAAGGTATTTGCTTTCTCACTTTCTTCTCATCTAACCCAAAGCAACAGCAATTCTTCTTATTGTCAAAAGTGGACGCTTAGTAAAGATATTTTTTTGTCAGTGCTCCTAATATACATCAAAAACAGCATCAAGAAAATACTTGATACTGCAAATTAGGACCACCAAACACAGCCACCTGAAAAGGAAGCAAATGGCTACGTATCAAAGTGTCTTTTGATAAAAATCAGCAGTAAATGCTACAATAATTTCATAATCCCAGTTCTATAGCACGCATAACTAACACAAAAAACCTCCAAAGTTTTAAAAAGAGATTAAGGAATTTATATCACATCCATTGAAATAATGATATTTTGTCCACAGATGTTTTTCCCCTGCATGGGGACAAGGCCTGGGATGTGTCCACAGCAGGAAGAGGGAAGAGTGATTTTTCTCTTGAGATAAGAGCACAATAAAAATAATTAATTCTTCCTCTTTCAAAAAACTATGTTATCAATAATCACCATTTATAAGATTAAAAAATATCAGAGAAGTAATACATACATAAAGCAAAAGCCATTACTGCAAAGAAGCACTATGACATCACATTTATGTGTGGGTAAAAGATATAGAAGAAATAAAATCAATTCAGGAAAAGACTGCAATTTTTTGCCCACTTTCACAAATAATCAAATATGATCCTGTGTTTTGATGTCAATTGGTATTATGTGCTTTTTAAGTTTCACATTACGTATCCATAAACCCTGTTTAAAAGAAAAAGTCAGTAAAAACATTACCAAAAAATGGTAAGTTAACTCAAAGCAACGACCTGGATGAGGGTATAGAATGTACCCTCAGCAAGTTTGCTGATGACACTAAGCTGAGAGGAGTGGCTGACACACCAGAAGGCTGTGCTGCCATCCAGAGAGACTTAGACAGGTTGGAGAATTGGGCGGGGAGAAACATGATGAAATTCAACAAGGGGAAGTGCAGAGTTTTACATTTGGGGAAGAACAACACCATGTCCCAGTACAGGTTGGGGGCTGAACTGCTGGAGAGTAGTGTAGGTGAAAGAGACCTGGGGGTCCTGGTAGACAGGAGGATGACCATGAGCCAGCAATGTGCCCTTGTGGCCAAGAAGGCCAATGGCATCCTGGGGTGCATTAGAAAGGGTGTGGTTAGTAGGTCAAGAGAGGTTCTCCTCCCCCTCTATTCTGCATTGGTGAGGCCACATCTGGAGTATTGTGTCCAGTTCTGGGCCCCTCAGTTCAAAAAGGACAGGGAACTGCTCGAAAGAGTCCAGCGCAGAGCTACGAAGATGATTAGGGGAGTGGAACATCTCCCTTATGAGGAAAGGCTGAGGGAGCTGGGTCTCTTTAGCTTGGAGAAAAGGAGACTGAGGGGTGACCTCATCAATGTTTACAAATATGTAAGGGGTGAGTGTCAGGGGGACGGAGTTAGGCTTTTCTCGGTGATGACCAGTGATAGGACAAGGGGTAATGGGTGTAAATTGGAGCATAGGAGGTTCAAGGTGAATATCCGAAAAAATTTTTTTACTGTGAGAGTGACAGAGCACTGGAACAGACTGCCCAGGGAGGTTGTGGAGTCTCCTTCACTGGAGACATTCAAAACCCACCTGGATGAGTTCCTGTGTGATGTACTCTAGGTGACCCTGCTCTGGCAGGGGGGTTGGACTAGATGATCTCTCGAGGTCCCTTCCAGCCCCTAAGATTCTATGATTCTATGATCCACATTCTAACCGTAAAAATGTATCAGTAACACCTGTGAAGAGTCTTATGTTATATACAATGTGCAAGCCAGTTATCTGGGTTGATGCTGACTGCCAGTCCTCTGTAAAGCTGAGGTATCTTCAGAATTAACTTCAAGTCTGAGCCAACATCATAGAAAGTGACATACTCTTCCCTCCCACTCTGTCGTAATGCAAAAAAGGCAAACTGCAGTCCCTGAGGCAACCAAAGAACAAGACAAATTTCAAATTGGTCTTACAGTTTTGATGTATACTATTAAATCATTAAGACTCTTCATATTAGACTCAGTTCCTCCATTACGTCACAATTTTTCTTGCCACAAAAATTATCAGCTCTTTTTTTTTCTCAAAGCATCATTTTTAAAAATAGTAAGTAACATTTAGTATCATAATGATTCGGTTAAGAAACTGGCATCTTCTCGTTTGAAGATACACATTTCCTCCAATTCACCCAAGTATAGAGAAAAAATAACACCACTGAATGCAGCAGAAGACAAATCACTGAAACATTGAGTTAAACATTACAAGAAGCTATCCATAATGGCCAATTTCTATACACACTAGAGTGTGCTATTGTATATAAGATTGGTCACTCTCATGTGAAACAAGAACGTGAGCTCTTCAGAACTAAGACACAGGATTGCCTCTAGGTCTACAGCAAAACAAGTTATTTTCTCTTTGGTCATATCACCAATATCCCAGTGAAAGATACAGCTGAGAACCTAAAGATAAGGACAAGAGTTCTTACAGGAAGGAAAGATAGATTCCAGATTTTCCTTTAAAACCAAACAAACATGCAGTATGCACAACCATATGCTCATCACAGGAATCAAGGAGATACTGTAAGTTATTTTATACAAGTAAATCCTGCTGAGTTAGAACTGAGCTAAGCTAGAGCTGAGTGAGTGTGAATGGACCAGTTTGCTGGGAGACATTATGACTAATGTGAAAAACTCTATAGAGGAAATAGTATGAAAGAGCATGTACATGTCCAAAACTGAAATATAATTATAGTTCCCATACTGTACATAACTAAACTCTTCATGTACTTGCAGTGTATAACATCTCTACCCTCCTGCATTTAAGACATTAAAACTGTGTTAAGAACAACTACAGCTTCTATCTGCTCATTTACTCCAGAGGGCATAAATACAGACACTTTCCACTGTGGAAAAAAAGAAAACCAAGAGCTAACTCATATGCAGAACAATCTGTTAATTCTAAGTGTTTTTAGTATTAATCTACATTTTGCTAGCAGGACTGTATGATATGGTGAATAGCACAATACATTTTGCTCAGGAAGTCTTCTCTAACTGCCCTCAGGTTTCTAAATCATTATCATAGAATCATACAATACTTTGAGTTGGAAGGGACCTTGAAGATCATCTAGTTCCAACCCCCGTGTGGGAAGGGACACCTCCTACTACATCAGGTTGCTCAAAGCCCCGTCCAACCCGGCCTTGAATACTTCCAGCAAGGGGACATCCACAACCTCCCTGGGCAACCTGTGCCAGTGTCTCACCAGCCTCATGGGAAAAAAAAATTCTTCATAATGTCTAACCTAAATCTGCCCTCTTCCAGTTTAAAGCCATTACCCCTTGTCCTGTCACTACATGTAAAAAGTCCCAGTTTTCTTGTAAGCTCCTTTCAGATACTGGAATACCTGAATTATATAGACAGCTAATTCTCTGGGATAGAGCTACAACTGTGCCAGGGCATCTTACGCCCTTGATGTTTTCCTACTTCCCCACATAATCCAAATGATGGGACACAGTAGCAAGAGAAAACAAAGACGAGCAAACAGGGCTGCATTCACAGGCAAGCTGACAAAAGAGAAAGCTACCATTAAGCAACATAGTAAGTATGAAAGGAATTCTTACCTCCATCAGGACATTCTAATGCCTTCTATCTCAAGAGCATCAGTCCAGATTAAATTAAATTCCACCATTGTTCATAAAGAACACAATATTAACTTGCAAAGGTTTACCAGCTGTCATCAATCACAATTATATATACCACATACATTTATAAATATTTTACTATTTATGTATTACTCCATTATGACACACTGTATTACTATATATAAACACACATAAAAACACTACGCAAAGGGTCTTCCTTCTTTCTCTAGACAGGAAACTGACCTGCAGACTGCAAGAGGTCAGAAAGAGGCTGCAGAAAATTAGGGTAACCCAATGAGTAGGAAGTGAAGCAAAACTACCAGGAAGCCTGTGTGGATGAACAAGGAGCTCCTGGCAAAACTCAAAAAAACCCAGAGGTGTGCACAGGTTGGAAGCACAGACTAATGACCTCGGTGGGATACAGAGACATTGTTCAAGCATGCAGGGATAAGGTTAGGAAAGTAAAAACCCAGATGGAATTGAATCTGGCAAGGCATGTGAAAGCCAACAAGAAGGATTTTGGTAAGTAGAGGTGACAAAAGGAAGGCTGTGAGGGTGTTCATGCACTGATACAGGTTGCCCAGAGATTTGGTCAAGTCCCCCTTCTTGGAGATTTTCAAAAGCTATCTGGACAATTGGCTCTAGGTAGTCCTGCTTGTACAGGAGCAGATGACATCCAAAGGTTCCTTCCAACCTCAACCATTCTGTGAGCTACAATCACATTTACCAAGCTCTAATTTACTGGGTATTAATCACGAGGCTACTCATTTTTCCTCACCACCTTTCCACAGAAAGTACTAAAAAGAATTTGCTACTGTATTACAAAGCAACCAGCAGTGGAGTGCTTCAC